AGATATTAAAACTGTTACATTCAGGTATTCAGGGACCACTCTCAAGACGTGTTCATTTTCTGCAGATGTCCCAACCGAGACACATAACTCAGGAGAGTTTAGTTAAGGATCTAGTTGAATGATTTCCCAGCTCAGTTTGCATTAGCGTATCTGACAACAGACTCTTGGCTGAGCCATTCAGGCAGTCAGACTGGAGGAGGACATGTGTGGAAGGGTGCTGATGGACCCTCTTGACTCTTGACAGTGTCCATGTGTTAAACCAGCCTTCAGGTCAGAATGGCAACAGTGATAAAACAGGCAACAAAACTGAGCTGATTTCACAGGCAAAAAAACCCTCCCCACATTCAAAAGCTTCTAAAATAAGCAATACGTTTGCATTCATGCAAATATAGTTGACTTTGAAGGAGTTTTATTATTATTATCATTAGGTAATAAGTGACAATGTGGTGTGTCAGTGAACACCAGCATTACTCGAGGACTGAATATATTGACACTATCAGGAAGTTCTTCCGAGACTGGAGGAAAGCACCAGCTGCCATGTTTATATTTATCTTGGCAGGTCTATAGGCTCTAGCCTGACGGATACCATATAGTGATGTTTGTAAAGTGAGGGAGCATCCACTTTAGATCACATTATGAAGTTTCTTCACCCTATTATTTTCAAATATAAAATGCCCAGACTTCAAGAGTGAAGTGAAAGGTTAGTAGCACCAAGATCTAAGCCTGGATAAGTAATGGAAGAAAAAGCAAGTCTGAGGAAGCCTTTTGCTTGATGCAGTGGGGTCTTCTTCCAGCAAGTGGGATTTGCTGTGCAAACATAGATTTGTACACATTTGGTCTGGACAAAGAGATCGAGGGCTGGTAAATTAGTTGCTGTGTCCCTGCTGCTGTTATCTTAAAATAGGTGGCCGGTATGTGATCTTGGAATTTCTTCCCATTTTAGGGACTTGGGGAGGTTACAGGTACACTGGCAGAAGGTTGGTTCTGAAACTGTCCAACAGAGGAAGAAATGTGACTCTTTTAAAAGTGTAAAATGTTTTCAAAACAACATGGGTCTTTCCCTGTGGTTTTGAGAAATGTGATAGAGCTGCAAACAATGATATAAATGGTGAAAGTTGTGTAGGTAAGGGAGGTAGATCTTGCATGTTATTTTGGCATAACTAGTAAGGTTACATACACAGGTAGGATGGAAAGACAGCTCTTCTAAAACAAAAACAGAACAGAAGTTTCTTTTACCATGGGGAAAAAAAAAAGCAATAACTGTATTATTCAGGTCATCTTTATTCTCTGTTACAAGACAAACAGAAGCCTGCAGAGGTGGACAAATATGCACTTGCCTTCATTAGGTACTAATACAAATACTGGTGGCTGTGTTGTTGACACTTTCTTCAGAGGAATTGGGGATTTAAGGATTCTCTTCTCCCTAACACCAGTTATAAAATTGATCTCATGGAACTATGCCTATTTATCCTAGTAGGGCCAATGAAAGAACAAGTTTGCACACGTAAAATAACGATGTTCAGTATGAAACACTGGGAATGTTTCAAGCTGTTGACGCACTTGTAGTTCAGTTGAGTGGCCATCTATGAGCATGGAGAGGAGTGACTGCTGCTCTAGCAATCACCCCCAATGTAATTTACTTCTCACAGTACCAAGTCCTTAAGCCTTGCCTTGGATGCTTTGGCTGAAGAACCCTTCTGCTACCATGAAAGTAAAGTTTAGCAGTGGAGATGGCCCTCTTCTAGACCTCTTGAGATCTTGCTATTTGTACATCAGATCCCCAAAGTTATCATCAATGCACTCCAGAACCTCCTGGATTATTTATGCCCTGCTGTGTTGCCTCTCCAACAGATATTGGGGTGATTGAAGTCCCCCATGAGGACCAGAGCCTGCAGACATGAGGCTGTTCCCATCTGTCTGTAGAGGGCCTCATCCGCTTTGCCTGTCCTCTTTTTAATCCTAACCCATAAACTCTCCATCAGCTCCTCATCCATCCCTTGGCAGAACCCCATCCACTCCAGCTGCTCTCTTACATAAAGGGCATCTCTTCCTCCTCGTCTTCTTTTCCTGTCCTTCCTGGAGAGCCTGTATCTCTCCAATGTAACACTCATCATGGGAGCCAACCCACTACGTCTCCATGATCCCAACAAACTCATACCCCTGCAACTGCACGCAGATTTCTAACTCTACATGTTTATTCCCCATACTGTGTGCATTAGTGTACAGGCACTTTAGAGATGCACCCCAGCATGTTGAGTTCCTGGAGAGGGTTTGGGGTGTTTGTCCAAAACGGTGCCTTGTAAGCACCTCACTGCCTACATGCAAGTGCTAGAGATGACCCTGCCCAGGCCCCATTGTGATGACTTTGTGAACCCTTCCTGCCATATCACCCCATGCCCTCTATTCAGCAGTCCTGAGCATTGCTTTCTCACAGGACTGCTGGTTGCCCTGTCCCTCCCCCATCATTCCTAGTATAAAGCCCTCCTTATGAGGTCAGCCATCCTATTGGCAAGAATAGTTTTGCCCTGCCTAGTGAGGTGGATCCCATATCTCTAAAGCAGACACAAACAGGGTCCCATGGTTATAGAACCCAAAACCACATATTGCCAACACTAATTCCACAGCCAATGATTGATTTCTCCTATTAGTGACCCCTTCCTCGCACCCTTTCCCCTCACCGGCACCCTGTGTGATGGAGCTGCATAGGGACACTTTTGCCAAGAGCTCCTGTAAGACACTGTTGAAAAGACTCTTTCTGATTGTTCAAAGGTAACCTAGGCCACTAGCTTGTTTTGGCTTTGAGGGCTTGGACTCACTAATACTGTAATGCTTAGTTAAATATTCATGTCAAAGAGATGCCATGACTAGGAACAGAGGCATAGAGGTTATTTGCAGAAGACAAAAAATAATAGAGATATGCTGTCCCGAGTCTACATTACCCTCATCTATTTCCTCCTTGCATGACAGAAATTTTTCTGCCCTAAGGAATGTTATGGATGTGTTCATTAAGGAACTGGCCCACACGTTAGCAAAACTACTTTTAGGTTTTTGTAAGAAGTACAGGTTACTCTGCTTGTGCCATGCATAGACCAGACAAGCTCTTCCCATTAATTCTCCCCAGCTCAGGTGAGCCAGAGAGTGGTTTGCTCTACAGCCCTGGGAACGTTTTGCCGAGTGGTGCATCTCACATTCCATGGTTATGCATTTTCCCTGTGTTTTCTAAACAAGCACACACAGAAGTTTCATTTCATGCATGTAAGAGGAATGCATTAAAAAAATAAAACAAGTGCCAAGAGAACTGTCTCTTAACATCATTGCTTTTGAATTTTCACTGTGGGGCTTTCGAGTCCCTTTGCCTTCTGATTCATAATCTCACCTACTTCTGTGTAATATGAATGTCAAAAGATAAACAGTGGGACCTTTCAGCAATTGGTTGGGAAGGTACCTTGACTGGCTGCCAGGCTGAAAAGATACTCCTAAAGAAACTATTAAAAATCTACTGCAGTGAAACAGGCAGAAGAAAGAACATGTCAGATATAAAAGCAACAAAAACCTTATGCTGGCTCAAAGACAAAACATCCTACTTAGTCTAACTGTTTCTCGCAGGCAAGTTAATACTGGGGTCACTTCTATGCATGGGTAACATCATAAAATAATAAATATTGCCTTAAGAAAAGGAGTTACAAGGAACTTGACGCTAGCTTATGTATGTTGTCATGTCCCTCAAGGCATTAAGATCTGATGTGCTTTTAGGAGATGAATCAGGCTCCAAAGTTATCCATGTACAAAAATGAGCTTCCAAACAAGCACAAATAAAATAAAATAAAATAAAAAAAGAAGAAATAATTAAAAGTTGGGTTTAGATATCATCTTGATTTTTTTCTGCACCTGTGAACCCAAGTGGTGTTTCTCAGTGGGATGCAGCTAGCTCATTTCAGTGTGAAGGAGATACCTTATGCTAATGGAAACTTGCAAAGGTATGAGCTTGGCAAAGAAATCCAGAGTGATTAATAAACAACAGAGAAGAGTTTCTTCTTTTATGATCTACATATGGCTGTCTTAGGACTTGATCCAACTCCCAGGAGCTCCAGTAGAACTCCAGCTGAGTGCTGCAGGTTAGAAATACCTCCACAAATCTTGCTTCTCTGGAGTTTAGGTTCCTCAGCATGCCTTTAGGGGGGTTAGCTCTCAAATTTGGAAGTAGACAGTTGCTTCTGAAGCACCGCACAGGATTATCATACATACACAAAATAGGGATACAGAAAAAAAAGTCTGTTCTTAGCTGCATCAGAAGACAGCAGTGACAAAGACGAGAGTCAGAGGAAATTTAAAAGGAACAAATCTGCTGTGTCTTATCTCTCTAGTCACTAAAAGTCATGGCTGTCAGTGATGGGCTGCTCTTAAAGATAATACTAGGGGTTACTCTTATCTCTTTTCCCAAGTTTTCTGCACCACACTCGTAGCTATTGGTAGTTGGAGAGCAAGAGGTCAACTAATGGGCAGAAGGTTCAGAGTATGCATGTGAGCACATCATGATGTTGGGTACTGTAAATTTAATCAGACACACCCTGCAATGTGGAAAGAAAATCCCATTTAGGAGAAGCAAACCGCTTAATTTTCTCCACCACCATCAATAATCGTAACAATAATTGCTACTACTATTGTTTTTTCATTACAGTTCCAGGTAGAAAGGAAGAATTGGATCCCTTTCCAGTTAATGTTATATATTCTCCAGCTTCCTTTTTACAGTCAAAAGGGAATGGATTAATCTCACCGAGAATTCTATTTTATGCCAAATATACCAGTTAACTAGCCTTAATATAAGAACCCTATTGCACAGGGCAGCTTGTCAGATCAAAGCATCACTGGATGTACAAAATGCCCAAAACACAGGAAAAATAATCACAGCATCAACAAACAGCTGCTCATAAGGGAACACAACATCATATTGGAATGGTGCAGGAGGGTAATAAAGCCCATACGTTAACAGTGATACCTACCTATTGTGTCTCCTTGCTCATGCACCATGGAGGCCAGGTCTTTAATGATCTGGTTCACATCCAACATGTCACTCTGAAAAGACAGAAAGTCTACCATTAATGATGAATGGGTAATATCCAAGCATAAAAGGCATGTTCCCCAGTCAAGCTTTGCAAAGAAAAAAACAAAAGCAGAAAACCTTGTCTGTGTAGAATTAAAAGAAAAGGTTATAATGCTCCCATAGTAAATCAAAAATCCCCTTAAACAAAGCCATGGTTTGCTGGATCTAAGTCAGCCAGTTGACTCAAGCTTTCTATAAGAAACAAGTAGAATGATCAGATTATACAGTTGCTTTTCAGAATTGTGGAGAACTAAGAAAGAAAAAAACAATAAAAACAACAGCAGCAAACCCTTTTCTTTCTAAAAAAGTTATTTTTTATGCAGGCCATTCATCCCAGAGTGCGGATTTTTACATAGAAAAAGGCCATCTTTTAGCACAGCATCCATCTGATAAAATACTATTTGTAAACCGATGGAGATATGACCAAAACCTCACTGAATTTGAAATCTTATTGGTAAGGCAATATGGAAAGACCTGTTTGATGAATGGATTCATTTATACATTTTCAAGTGTGTGCAAAAAAAAAAAAAGAAAAAAAAAAGAAGTAACTAGATTCAGCACTGAAATTTTCTTAGTTAAAACACAGCAAATTGCCAGTGAGTTTGTTTCTCTCATTTCTGAACACTTACCATATACAAGAGCAAATGTGAGCATATGTTGACTTAATATGACTCTGGCTTTTATAAAAAGAATTAACCTAGCAATAATAGGCATAATAATATAGATACTGCTGAATGCACTACCACTAGCAGAGCAGAAAAAAAGACACTCAAACAGGATGCATTTTGTTAAGCTGTACAAATCCCAGAATCACAGAAACACTGAGGTTGGCAGGAACCTTTGGAAATTATTTTGTCCAACGCCCCTGCTTGAAGCAGTCAGTTAAACAAGGTTGCTCAGGGCCATGTCCACTTGGTTTTGTATAGCTCTACAGACGGAGACTCCATGGACTGTCTGACCAACAATATGTCCCTGTATCCTTGTACTGGGGAACCCAACACTGGATACTTTCTGAAGCGTTGAAAACATTTCCTAAGAATCTGCTTCTCCTGAGGCTAATTGCACAGTAATTCCTTTGTCTGCTTGGGTCCTGTTGCAACTCTAGTCCATCATGCCAAAAGGTCCGATTGCTTCCACCCCAGTTTTAAAGACTTCAGCTTCCCTACTGGCAAATTTAGAAAATGGTGCAAAATTAATCCATACACTTCTACTGAAGTTTGTTATGAGAATATAAGTGGCATAACATTTAATCGTATAATGCAATAGAATCGCATTAATTTGCAATGAAGCCTGGGAGTCCCATTGTGAATTCTAGAATATACCAAGTTGTTGAATAACTGAAGAAGTAGGAGAAACAAAAGGTTTAAAATGCTGTGAGAAATCATAATAAAACAAAAAACAAAACCCCCAACCAAAGACTGGGTAATGCATCACAACATTCACTTCATTCATTCACTTGTCAAGCATAATGAAGCTTTAATTATGTATGGTATTATTCATAACTTGTAAATACTGCAGAATATTTTGTAAAATCAATGAAGTTTAAGTAACTTGAGATTGCACTTGAGCACTGTGGTAGTAAATCATTGCCAGGAAATGAGGAGAAATGAGTTGTGATTTTTTTGGGTGGGGGAGGTTTTTGGGTTTTTTTTCAAAATTCTTTGAAAGGAGAAAGCTAAAGTTTAGCAAAATGTGAAGAATTAGGAATTAACTTTAATGTGTTGTTCTGCTCTCATTTAACTGCTTAGTAAAAGATGATTAAGGAAAATTACACAAATAAATAATAATACTAAAAAATCCCAGAATGCTCATTTGTCTCTCCTGGCTAAATTGCCAGTGACATCAGTCTTTGGTTTCTGTTACTTGCAACATAAACAAAAATTTTTCTACCCTTCAGTCAGTCTGTTTTGTTTTGTTCTGCTTCTTTTACAGCACTTTAAGTGAACGCAGCTTAAAATTCATGAACATATTATTGCACGTACATTTGGTTAGAGGTTATTGCAATATACTGAATTACAATTGGAATAAAACAAGTGGGCAATTTGGTCTAAGAAAGGTTGCCCAGAGAGGTGGTGGATGCCCCATCCCTGGAAACATTCCAGGTCAGGTTGGACGGGGCTCTGAGCAACCTGATCTAGTTGAAAATGTCCCTGCCCACGGCAGGGGGGTTGGACTAGATGACCTTTAGAGGTCCCTTCCAGCCCAAACTATTCTATGATTCTATGATTCTATAAGTTGGGCTGTCTGCCTCCTGATCCCCGGATATTATGACAAGAAGGGGAGAATGAGAGAGGAAATTCAATGCTGTATATGAACAGTGCTGTTTCAGATTTGCCATTTATATCCAGGTACTTGGGATGAAACAGCCATCTGCTGCTGCAGAATGTAGATCCTTTTCATAACATTGTAACAGCACTTAAAATTATTGTTTAGCAAATATGCATTAGTTAAAACCAGCTGCTGAGTTGTTAGGAAGGAAAAAATGCGACTACTGTATTTAAGGAAAAATAAACAGGGGTGAGTTGTAAAGCACAGAGCACAAAGCAATCTGACCTGAAGCAAGGAATCTGTTGAATAATTTAACCTGGCAATGTGAAGTTTCAAAGTCCCTGATATATGTAAGCAAAACAAAAGAAAAAATACAAGAAAGAAAAATAGCCAGAAATAAAGACCTTCCATAATGGAATATACCTAGGAGCTATGTTCCTGTTCCTTCTTGCCAGGTTAGCTCTATCATGAAGTACCTCTGAACTTGCCAGCCATCAGAGTTAGTTAGCAAAATCAGATTGCCTTTGGTTTCCCGCGTTTGCACATACTATGCGGAATTCACAGTGAAATACAGCTCCTCATAAATCCCTTTGACTCCACAGAAACTGGGAGTACAACAACCAGCTATCGTTCCACAAATGCTGTCTCCCTGCCAGCTAACTGGCTTTCCTGGGTTTTAATCAACAGCAGCCTTTCCTGAATGGCAACAATTCACTCCCTACATTCAGCAGCAAGAGGGAGACAGATTTAAATTGTTTCATATAAATCCTCTTTTTTCTTTTTTCTTTTTTTTTTTTATTTTTCTCCAAAGGAGAAATCCATTGTACAGATTAGTATACAGGATTTAAGGTCATCCATGCTGGAACAAAAAGAATTAAGACTAGTCATCAGTAACATCAGTGATGGCAAAAAGAAATGGCAGTAACTAAAGATGACCAAAAAAGCAGAGAAGTGCCAATAAACAAGTCATGCAGATGAAAAAATGAGAGAAATGAAAGAATTTGGGACCCTAAAGGTCTGGAGGATTAACTCTCACTAGAAGAAGTTAGTTTGGAAACTTCTTAACAGAAAGTACTAGATTAAAATGGCAGGATTATTTGAGTAATGTAACCTGACTCAGTAAGTGAATAATGTCACTGCAAAGTCCTGAGAGTTTGGAAAAAATCTAAAATTCCAACTCCAGCACAGAAACCATTGGAAATATGATTTTGCAGATAAACTAGAAATTTACATTTCCCATTTTTTACTTTAACAAGACCACAATTTCAACATTTTTAAAATTAATCTGGGAGCAAGTCAGGTTGTAAAACCCAGACGTTGTTACCAAGATGGGAACAACCTAGTCATAAATCCCAGCAGCCCGCTTCCCCATGGGATGAACATTACTGAGGTATTTGCCAAGACAGCAAATAAGTAAACCTCCTCTCTCACGCTTAGTGGGGTGAAGATTTATCCACATTGAAAACTTCTAACATAGCCCTGACCTTAATGATATTCTAAGGACACTTCTGTATTCCATCCACGAGAACAGCACTAAATAAACCAGAGAGGGGAAACATGCTCTCCTCAAAAGGACACAGAACAAGCATGTGCTGTCAATAATTTCTCTCTCACATTTAGCCAGATCCCAACACCCTTTGTCAATGTCAGCTCAGGTCCTCAAGGGAAGAGTCACACTTATTTCTAAGAATGTTTGACTTAGGTTTGTATAAAAAATAGGATCACAAATATCAGTAGTCTATCCTATTTAGCACATGCAGTTTTGTGTGTACTCCCAAACCATCAATCTATTTTTTTGAAGGACTACAAATTAACTTTTAAATTAATTGCTGACTCAATGTTCAGGCAATGCTGAATTCTACCAGTGAGGTCTCATTCAGCCCCACCATCCATTCTGCAATAAGCAGCCAGGAGACCTATAAAACAAACCTGAAGGAGAATCTGAAAGATGTAAAATAACATCCACGTGTGTAGTTCTGTATATGAAAGCACTCCAAAACAAAACAAAATGATAGTGCTTGTTATCTTTGGGGGGGGGGGGACCCCCAAAAAAACAAAAAGAAAAAAAAAACTTTGTAGTGTCTGGCATGTTCTACCAAAGAGATTATAGAATCATAGAAACATAGAATAGTTTGGGTTGGAAGGGACCTCTAAAGGTCATCTAGACCAACCCCCCTGCCATGGGCAGGGACATCTTCAACTAGATCAGGTTGCTCAGAGCCCCGTCCAACCTGACTTTGAAGGTTTCCGGGGATGGGGCATCCACCACCTCCCTGGGCAACCTGGGCCAGTGTTTCACCACCCTCAGCATAAAAAATGTCTTCCTTATATCTAGCCTCAATCTACCCCCCTTTAGTTTAAAGCCATTTCCCCTTGTCCTGTTGCAACAGGCCCTGCCAAAAAGTTTGCCCCCATCTTTTTTCTAAGCCCCCTTTAAGTACTGACAGGCTGTGATAAGGTCTCCCCGAAGCCTTCTCTTCTCCAGGCTGAACAACCCCAACTCTCTCAGCCT